ACACACACACAAACACACACACACACACACACACCACCACCATCGGCAATAACAACAACAACAACAACAATAACAACAACAACCAAACCAATAACAACAACAGCAAGGGCAACAACAATAACAACAACAACAACAACAACAACAACAAAACGGCAACAAAACCGTAACATAACAACATCAACACCAACAAAAACAACAGTACAACAGCAACAACAACAACAATAACAACAACAACAACAACAAAACCTTTCTAAAAAATCAAAGTGCATTCATAGACAGTTGCTTTGTTCATTTTTTCTTAAAGATAATATTTTAAAAATCAATTAGCAGTCACTCAGGCATTTCCGATAACTTTTGCATATTGCCTAAGAATCCATGAACGATGATCACTTAATTATATAATGTGCTGGAATGGAATCCCCTTGTAAAAACATGTTTTTAACCAAGTATTTCCGCTTGTTTACTGGGATGTAATATCCTACACAGCCCTGACTTTCCCATGACAGGCTGGGTCAGAGTAGTCTGCTTCCCAATTTATCATATTTGTGTCAATACAGGAGTAAAATATTAACAATTACAAATAACAAAAGGGCGCTGCAACGGAGAGATCGCAGTAAATATTCGGGAAAACAGTTAAGGCCACTAAAGTACGCGTCAGACTGACTATTAATAAAACACATGTACTGCGCTGTTGAATACACAATCCCTAGCACCAAAAATATAGCAAAGTTGTGGATTTTTTTTCTCTGACTAGAACCCCATTATTATGTCTGTGCGAGTACAGACAGAAAAGCATATTATAGTCCAGACAGCGAGTTGTACGTTAATCGAGTGCATTTATGCATAGCCGTATAATTACGTTTACGTGCGCGAAATAATGCATTAGACTACGCTGGCTTTATGAATACGTTCTTCGGTCATTCTTTAGACACAACTCCTCCGTTTTTCGTACAAACGTGCATTTAGCGCCAGTGTGTTGGTAGAACTAATGCGCCTCTAGCTTCAAGACCGCCATTGTTTCATTTATAATGGATGGTCTGGCCTCTGTTCTGATGGCGCGGGCATTTTATCCCTGGTATTGACCTTCGATTAGCGGAAAGACTTTTGTCTGCTATCTCCTTTCTATAAAGGGGTATTGGAAAACGAGAGGTGGGGTGGGGGCTGGAACATTAATGGATTATAGAGGTCTTTGTGACTGGGATAAACAAGTAAGATGAATCAGTAGTCTTGAACGGATAGGCAGACAGACAGACATATAGATAGATAGATAGATAGATAGATAGATAGGTTAGATAGATAGATAGATAGATAGATAGATAGATAGAAGGATAGATA